AGCAACTAAAGGGCCACAAGTGTAGAATAACAGAAGAAAAAGTCCTATTCTAATCCTGGGCCTACTGGATTTGACATAGTGATATCCTAAGTTATGTTGTTTTGGCTTTTCTACCACTCTTAGCCAAAACTTATCCTCATTAATATAAATTCTGTCTAACATATCTGTTCCCAATTCCTAGCCATTTCTCATCAATTGTTCAAACTATGTTATATGTTGTCCCTCAAAATGGCTCAACTTTCCTGCCTCTTTATCTTTTCATATGTCAAGCTGGATTGGTTTTCTCACTGAAATTCTATCCATCTCTTAAGACACATCTCAAATGTCAGATTTTAGCCCCACAAACTCAAGTTCTCTCTCTCTCTCTCTCTCTCTCTCTCTCTCTCTCTCTCTCTCTCTCTCTCTAACACACACACACACACACACACACACTGGTTATCTCTCCTTGACTTGTGTGTGTCTCTATCTCTCTTGCTTTCTCTCTCTCTCTTTCTCTAACACACACACACACACACACACACACACACACACACACATTGGTTATCTCTCCTTGACTTGTGTATGTCTCTATCTCTCTTGCTTTCTCTCTCTCTCTCTCTTTGACTCTCTATGTCTCTCTTTGTGTGTTTTTCTATATTATATCTACTTTTCTCTCTGTGTCTGTCCTTTCCCCCTCCCTCTTTAGCTGGATCTCTTTGACTTTCTCTTCTCATACCCAGGATAGTTTTGCATGTTCCTCTCTTACTTCCTCTTACATTTCCTAACACAGAGTGAGAGAGAGAGAGAGAAAGCAGCTTATACCCCAACATGGACAGCTCTGTGCAACTTGAATAGAGTTGTTCTATGATACCATTGTTTTTAACTGAGTTGAGGAAAATCATCCAGGAGAACAAGTGTTGGGGGAGCGTGTATAAAGGATGTTCTTCCATCTAAGGATGGTTGTGGACAAGGTTTTATGCACATGTGTGAGCTACAGTTGTTGTTTGATGTAAAGCTGTCAAAGCCAGTTCCATGTCACTTCTATGAGCTCTGTCATCCCCTATGAGCTCTGTCATCCCCAGATCCTAGGAATCAAACCGTCACATGAAGTCACCACATCCTGTGCAAACTCTTCCTACCCCTCCCCCAGCCCTGTCATCTCTGGACAAGCACAACCCTGATAGTAACCACTTGATCAATGGGCTACTTAAATATTTGATCATATACATATTTCACAACTTTTGTGTATGCTGGTTCTGGGGCTTGAACTCAAGGTCTGGGCACTGACTCTGAGCTTTTTTTCTTAAAAGGGATAGTGCTCTACCTCTTGAACAATAGCTCCACTTCTAGATTTTTATTCTTGGTGGTTCATTGGAGATATGCGTCTCTCAGAGTTTCCTGCTTAGGATGGCTTTGAACTATGATCCTCAGATCACAGACTCCTGAGTAACTAGAGTTACAGATGTGAGCCACTGGCACCTAGCACATTTCACAACTTTTGACTTGGGTATAACTTTTGTTGACCCTAAGAGCCACAATTCCTTCCAGATTTTTCTTTTGGAACCTGCTCTGAATGACAATAGGAATAGCTTGGCTTGGCACAGGATCCAGCTACGATGCCATGGCATATGGCCTCACTGGACTGAAGCCACACCGCCAGATTATTGCAGGGTCTGATCTTGGTACCTGTGAACTACTCACCTGAAAGCCCCCATTACCGCAAATCATCAGAGATATTTGGCAAAGGATATCTGAATAGAAATAGCAGAGGAAAATACGCTGGGAGAGAAGGTAGACATGCTCTCTCTCTCCATCCCAGGCTATGCTGGGGCTGAGCTTGCCAGGGAGTCAGATAATCACTTCATATGTCTCCCGAGTAACATATGTTCTCCCAGGAGCCGTACAGCTCTTCAGTAAGCTGGTTTGTACCATCTCTACACAGAAGCTTCTGGAAAGTATCTCTGCCTCTCACGCACCCCCTACACACACACACACACACACACCCACACACACACACACATGTTCAGAGTTTCTAAACAGGAGTTAGTGCTGACAGTGATTGTGAATTTAAAAAATAAAATGGATAGAGCTCTGAGCCCTGAGTGAGCATGGAGGACGGAACTGGTTCCAGAAGAGACAAGGAGGTATTGGTCTGCAGGGGTTAAAAATCAAGGCTCTGCACAAGGCCCTCAAGGTCTGATTGCTGATGGCTCCTCTCTCATCAAAGCCTCTGATCTCAGCCCCTGATCCTGCTGTCACCATAGACACAGGCACCATTCTTTCAGGAACTTTCAAAGGGATGAATTCAGACAAAGACCTTGGCTTAGGCCTTGGGCTTATTGTTGTTGTTTCTTTTTTTTTTTTCAATCAACCCTTTACTTTTACCATTTTTTTTTCTACTTTTCTTTTCATGTGCTACTTTTTTTCACTTATTTCATCATTGACTTCTCTTGTTTTTAATAACAACAAAATGTGATGGTTTAATCACCGGGCCACTGATGGCTGACACCTGGAATCCTAACCACTCAGGTGGCTGAGATCCAGAGGATCATGGTTCAAAGCCAGCCCTTGCAGACAAAAAAAATCCTTAGGACTCCATCTCTGAACATCCAGACTAGAGGGGTGGCTCAAGTGGTAAAGTGATAGTTGAGCAAGTGAAGTGTGATGCCCTCAGTTCAAACCCTAGTACCAGCAAAATTTTAAGAAAATCAAATAAGCAAGGGCTTAATGTGCCAGCACCTTTTAATGGTGGTCCTAAGGCCCTAAGTTCTGGATACCTTTTTCTGTATAGGTCCACTTAGTAAATATGTCTTGGCTTTGCTAACCATATACCCACCCCCACTGTCTCGTTACAAAAGCAATCATAGACAAGACAAACCAATGAGCTTGGCTGTGTTCCAACCAAACAATTTATAAAAAGAAGCAGACAGAGCCAGGCACCAGTGGCTCACTCCTGTAATCCTAGCTACTCAGGAAGCTGAGATCTGAGGATCATAGTTCAAAGCCAGCCCAGGCAGGAAAGTCCCCATGAGATTCTTATCTCCGATTAACCACTAGAAAACCAGAAATGGTGCTATGGCTCACATGGTAGAGCTCTAGCCTTGAGCTGAAGGACAGTGCCCAAGCCCAGAGTTCAAGCCCCACAACTGACCCCCCCCCAAAAAAAAGAGGCAGACAGAAAAGTTCAGATGGTAAGTTTAGATGGTAACTTACTGCTTTAGATACAAAGGACCCAAGAAAACAGGCAGAAAGAGTTCAGGCCCAAAGAACCATGGGTCCCATGGTTTCCCTTATTTGCAATAACTAATATATGTCTGGGATAAGCAGAAAAGGTAAAAAGCTATGTACATATGACTAGATAAGATGATGTTAAGCAAAATGGACCCCAAGATAGGGACATGATGTTTTTTTTTCTTTCTTGCTATTGTTTTTAATTACTTTATAATGTACCATGTGATTTTTTTGTTTCTTTGTATGTTCCTCCCCCCATGGTATAACCCCTGTATTCACTGTATTTGATGTCGTGGCCCTGCATCTTGTATATACACTTCTCTAATTTGGGGAGAGGAAGGGAAAAAACAAAATGCTTAAATAGGGATACAGGTTGACCCATTGTAACAATGAAATACACAAACACTATGTTGAAAAACGAACTTTACAATTTAGGCAGGGGGATTTGGAGGAGTGTAGTTGTGGAGGTGGGAGGGAAGGTATGGTAGGGGAAAAACAAAGGAAGAGGTAACAATGCTTGATAAGAAATGTACTCATGACCTTGCTCATGTAACTGTAACCTCTCTGTGCAGTATTTTTACAATAAAAAACATAAAAAAGAAATTAATTCCAATGAGAAAAAAAAAGTTTAAGGCCAAGTCCAGAGCCAGTAACTCACACCTGTAATACTAGCTACTCAGGAGGCTGAAATCTGAAAATCCCATTGAAAGTTAGCCTGCACAGGAAAATCCATAAGACTCTTACCTCCAATCAATTGACCAGCAGAATGGTTCAAGTAGTAGAACACCAGCCTTGAGTCTAAAGCTAAGGGACAGGGCCCAAGCTCTGAGTTTAAGGCATAGGACTATCATACATACACACAGTGGACCAGCACACACACACATACAAACACACAAATTAATAATAAACCCTTGAAGGTACATATACATAAACAAGATAAACACAAAAAAATGTAATTGCAAAAGCTAAGGAGGCAGGCACCAGTTGCTCACCCTTGTAATTCTAGCTACTCAGGAGGCTGAGATCTGTGGGTCACAGTTCAAAGCCAGTCTGGGCAAGAAAGCCCATGAAACTCATCTCCAATTAGCAGCAGAAAGCTGGAAGTGGCACTATGGCTCAAGTGGTAGCGTGCTAGACTTGAGCAAAAAGACCTAAGAGACAGTTCCCAGTCCCTAAGTTCAAGCCCTAGTACCAGAAAGAAAAAAAGTCCGGAAGATTAGTACACCATTTAACAAGCAAACTAATTCAATAAATTAAATTACTCTATTTTAAAACAACTTGTGACTCATTACCAACCGACTGCATGATTTGAGTTTATTCAAATAAGGTCTTTTCTTGTTCAGACTGGACAGTGTGAGTACTTAATAAATAAAGTTTCATGTGAGCAAGTTAATGGCCTAAGTCTGGAAAAGGGCTAAAATCCTAAAAGATGCCTAAGGATCAAGAATTAAAATCTATCTGAAGAATAATTCCATTTGATTGTTTCCCCACCACACATCTAGATAAATGTAATTGCCTTTTGACTGGAAGCTGCTGTCATTTGGATAAAAAGCCCCAAATAACTGGATGACCTTGAATTAGTTATCTAACTTCCCTAAGAAGCAGTATGCTTGTTTTCAAAACCGGAATAATAATTTATGTACTCCACATAGAAGAATTAACGACAGTAAATCTGTGAAGTGCTTGGCATGGCTCCTGACATAAAATGACTGCTTTAATAAGTGCTGGTAGTGGTGGTGATGGTGGCAATTATAGTGGTGACAGTGATAGTGGAGAGAGTAATGATAATAATGGTTATGGTATTGGTGGTGATGGTGATGATAATGATGGTGGTGGTGGAACTGGTGGTAACGATGTAACAATGGTGGTGGTGATGATGGGATGATGATAATAGTGGTGGTGATGGGGATTATGATGATGATGTAATAGTAGTGATGATAATGATCAGAATGGCGGTGGTGACAGTGATGATGATGGTGATGGTGGTGATAATGATAGTGGTGGTGATGGCGATGATGACGGTGGTGGTGGTAGTAATGATGGTAGAAATGGTGGTGGTGGTGATGATGGGGGTGATAATGGTGATAGTGGTGGTGATGGAGATCATGATGGTGATTACAGTAGTGATGGTGATGATCAGAATGGTGACACTGATGATGATGATATTGGTGATAGTGGTGACAGTGGGG